CACAATCCCCCCACACCTCTCCCACCACCCCAAGTACATTCCACTATGCAACCTTAATTGTGGACTCTTGTGATAACCATAATACCCTATCATACATCGCTTTTAAATTATTCAGTCCCTCATCTGTTTCAGTGCAGTATTCACAATTTATACAGTTTTTCTCAGTCTTACCCCTACCCTGATATCAGTCCCATTTTACAGCAGTGGCACCATGCCACAATATCATTTTTGTCATCATTGCTATTCAACTGGAGCTGACGTATGGTGACTTAACAAATAGTGATCCTACCACATCTTTTTGCCTTTAAATGGTTTGGACTGTTGACCTTTTTGTTAGTAGCCTAGCATTTAACCAGGGCAAGAACTGGACTCCTTATCAATTTAAATCTTACTATTAAGTTGGGGTGGAGGAAGGCGAAGAATACCACAAGAATGCCTATCTGTGTTTCATTGACTATGCAAAGGCATTTGATTGGGTGGATCACAATAAGTTGTGACTAACTTTGAAAAGAGTAAGAAACTTAGAACACTTGATTGTGCTCACGTGAAACCTATACTTGGACAAGGAAACAGTCCTCAGGACAGTGCAAGGAAACACTGCATGGTTCAGTTTTTGCAAGTGGATCAACAGGTGTTTTTCCCTCGTTGTCTTGGTTTGGGAGTTCAGTTGGTACCTGTGTGCCATGAATGCCCCTGCTGGTATTTGACAAACAAGTGCTATAGCTTTCAAAATTGTAGTCATAAACAAGCAAACTGATAGGTGAGTGGTAAATTTTGAGATTCATAAATGTTTATTTTAGAAAATATAGAAAAAGGAACAACAATGAAAACTTGCCATAACTCGTTACTCAGAATGAGGATTAACATTCTGGTGTATTTCCTACCTATCTTTTTAAAACCTGAAACCATGAGATCAATGCATTAAACTATTCCTTTTTAGGGAACCCGCCATGTTTCAGTCCTTGCTCAACACTGGAGACAAAACAGTGAATAAGACGGACACAAACTTCTCCTGAAGGAACTTAAGAGTTTAGAGGTTCAGATTGACATAAAACAAAACAGTGGCTTACATTTGTGATAAATGGTGGGCAGTCAACATAATAACAGCTAGCTTTCTTTTAATTATTATTATTGCTTACTACACCCTAGGGAGTCCCTGGGTGGTGCAATGGCTGACAGTTTGAGTCCACCCACAGTTGTCTTACAAGAATGGTCTGGTGATCTACTTCCAAAAATAATCTGTCATTGAAAATCCTGTGGAGCACCATTCTAGTACAGTGCACACAAGGTTGTCGTGAATCAGAATCAACTTGAGGAGCAACCAACAACAACAACATCGGCTAGGCATTACATGAGATGTTTTTGCATTTGCTAGATATTAATTAAATCTTATACATGC